TCGCGCGAGTGTGGAACCACAGCAATATGGGTGTCTTTTCTAGCTAAAATCGACGTTCCGGACGCGTTGGCGCGGTCCGTTTCGTCATCCGGGGTCGTCCGGACGAGTTTGCCGGCGGGCGAGTCAATTTAAGCCAAAATTGTGTGTGATGCAACAAGTGCGTTGAAGTGCGGCGTTCGCGAGTATTCGAGTCACAAATTGTTCACCTAAGGTCATTTGATCCTATAGGAACTCATTTTCAGACCCTCTGCATGTTGGTCCTTAGCCCTTGCAACTAGAAGTTGAGTGCTTGGGACCATTCGTGCGAGTTTTCACAAAAAATGAGTAAAGAAGCGGTTTGAAGTTCTATGGGAGGTGGGCTCCATTACTAGTCCGCTAGGATGGTCAACCAGGAACTCCTAAGGCTAGATCCTAGGTTCTAAGATTAGGAGGCTAAGACCTCACTAAAAATGAGGTCAACATGCACGTGAGATCCCAAAAATCCTAAAATCCAACTTCAACCGAGAAGCAATGAAGCATAAGCATTAGCCAAATAAAAAGTCACAATATTCTCGAGCACAGAAACACAATACCAAGCAAAACCACTGCACAGAGGAACCCATGCTGGGTACAAAGGCACAAAACCAAAAGCCACACAATTAGGGTAAAAAAACCACCCACAAAGATTGCCCAACACGAAGAAGAACCACCTGACAGAGGAACCACCACAAAGAGGAAACCTAAAAAATATCAGAGACATACACAGTTTCAAAATCAAAGACAATAACATAGTTAAGGTAGGGATTACCCAACACGAAGAGGAACCACTGCACAGAGAAACCACCGCATAGAGAAGTAACACCTCACACGGATCAAAAGATCGCAACAAAGTCACAAAGGAGATAGAGGAGAGGGAGAAGAGAACTCACCGAGAGAGGCACAAAACATCAACTGCGAGAATCACAAGAGAGAGAGAGAGGGAAGAGGAGAGGATCGCTAGGGCAAGAAGTGAGAGAGAGGGTTGTGGGAGAGGAGGGGCAGCTATGGCAAGACAAGACACAAGAAAAATGATCGCGATAGAGCAAGGTCAGCCACGTCAACACTCCAAGAACGAACGCGGGCCGTGAGGTTTTGATTTTTCATAAATCATCCGTGTTGTCGAAACCAAACGCAAACCATCGCGCTTTCTGACGACGCCATGATACAACCGCTGCCCCAAGTGGGGCCATAGTCTAATACTACAATATTCAATGCAGCACATTTGAATTCCAGCAAGAACACCAAGCAGAATATTTTAGTTTTAACACACACACACACACAAGTTCTAACCACACTACCATGTGGCAAAAGGATGAAAACTATCAGATCAATTAGCCTGTAATGCCTAAGAAGGCAGCTGAATCCACTGAACCCATCCATAGTGCTGTTAAAGGAAATTTACGAATGGAAAGAAACTGTTGAAGGAAATACTATAAATGGAATGAAGCCTTTGAAGATAATAACACTGATGGAAGGAAGCTGCTGAAGAGAATTGAAGTGGAAATCAACAAAACTTATCTATAGTCGTGCAGAAGGAAGAAGACAATATGGAACACAATCCCAAAAAGATCACATATGGTTGCGTAGGGGCTTTTCACATTAGTCGTTTTTGCTACTGGTATATTGCAGACTGTAATGTTTGCAATTTCTTTTGTTAAAAAAAAAGGGGAAAAAAAACATAAGAAAGAGGGGGGTGAGATCCAAAAGTTGTTGCTTACCTTTTTGAGCAGTTTCGACTTATTGGACATTTTTCTCGGGAGATGTTTGGGTTGTATTTATTGCAAAATAAGTAATTAGGTGACATATATTGGGATCCGATGAGTATGGTTGTTTTTAGAAGAAATCAGTGGCTTGTAGAGGTTGTGTTGGAATTATGAGACTAGTTGAATTTGTGGTGTTTGGTCTTGCAGTGTTTAGAGTCTCAGATGGGATAGTTTATGATGATAATTTTAATAATTTTAATTGCTGCAAATCCGAAGGAGTTTTTTTGGGATGTGGGATTTGAATCTCCGACTTTGTCCTTATAACAGCTTATATGTTTCTTTATGGATTTCTTTCCAGGTGGGTTTTGACATGATAGATACAATAGCTGAAGCTGAAGGGATTTCAGTGGCCAAAATACACTGTAAAGCATTACTGGGCAAAGGTACACATTTTTCTCTAGGAATTGTCCACACTGTATTTTTTGGTTTTAATAAGCTAGGTATGGCCGTTCTTTTGATACCATTTTCATTTTCCATCACATATGCTTATGTCTAAATAATATATCACACAGGTTTTAGTAGCTCCTTCTCTTTAACTTTTCGTCCAAATAATTTATCACTAAAGTATAACTAGCTCATTCTTTTTATCTTTTAGCTGGAGCAATTTTATTGCTATCTAAACTTCAACCTGTTCTTTGATGTGCAAAACTTGTGCTTTCTGTTTGTTAAACATCTGAATATCTCGTGCTACATTTTAAATGTTATATTCTACTGCTTTAGGAAATTGTTTTATTACTATTATATAGTTTTGATTTTCATCAAAATTCTATTTTTTAATCTTTCAGTTGATGCAAATTTTAAAGTTTTTATTTATTGGAAACATGAATCATGCGCGTTAACATTTTTTTATTTCTTTTGTCATAGTTTTTGTTTGTGGCTCAATTTTTAATAAAATAGGCATATGACATGATTCTATGGAGAATGCGATGTGTTCTGCGGTACTTTAATTATCTTGATGAGTTTTTTTTACTATTGTAAGTTATTTAGATTCAGATCTTGTCAAATTTTGTAGTACAAATATGCAATTGCTTCTGATTCCTTGCTTTTGCAAATACGTCTCTCAATTTTGTTTATCCACTAATTTGAACCTTCCATTGTTGTGGCTGATTTTTTAAGCTATTTGTCACGAGCTTGATCGGATGGTTGGAAGTAGTAAGGCAGAAACAGACTATTGGATTGAAAGTTTTTCTTTTAAATAGAAACAGACTATTGGATTGAAAGTTTTTCTTTTAAATAATATTGATAAAGTTTTATAAAATGAAAACTCAAGTCATTCAAAGAAGCCAATTAAATCCAAGATTTTCTTTTATCACTTATATATTAAACACGCCAGATTTATACAAAGATATATAGGATCAATTTATTACCTTTCTCTCACTGCTCTTCTTTGATTAGCAATTAATTTTCTTTTATCATCCATTTATTTAAAGGAAATCTACATTAAAATATTCATCAGCTATATTGTTATTTAAACAACTTAGTAGCTAAATATATTTCTAAATTATATTAATTCAAAAAATAGAAAATAATGTGCATGACAATTCTTAAAGTGAATCAATACATATCAATTTATTATAAGAAAAGTTTTCACATAATTTTTCGCAACTCATATTTTTATATAGTACACCTACCATAAGAGTTATCATCTAAATGTGTACTAGAAAATCACACTTTTTAATAACTTTTTCCAAAATCCATCGTCAAATGAGTAGGTAGTCTTTTGTATTTTCATTTATGTGCATTGCTATTTTGTGTCCCCAACTAGCATCATTAGGGGTGGATTCCCTCATTCAAACATGCACATTGTTTTTTTTCTTTTTCTCAAAATTTTGCAATAATCATATCAAATATGCATGTGAAGTAATCATTGAACATTCAAAACATGAATAATACGGGACTTTATGAATTTAATATACAATTCTTAAATGAAATAGAGAAAAATAATTTTACACAAATAAATTTTTTTTCAAACAATAAATGCACTTAATTTGGAGGAATTATAAATAATTACTACAACATAAAAGCATAAATATCATCATTATTGAGAAATCTTGTCTATTCATTTCTCTTTGGAAACACTTCCTTTAGTGAAATAATTATAATATAGCCTCACACGTGATTAGTATTTATTTGTTTACTTAATTATTTACTATATTTCTTTAATATTATCTTTTACTCTTTCTATCTAATTTTATATTCGTTATCTTCTTATTTAGCCATTTAATAAAATTTAATTTCTTAATCTAATTTTTACAATTTTATAATTTAAATTTTATAAATTATGTCCAATCTAATTTTGACTATAGTTAGTTAGACATTAAATTTATGTTTATTTTATCTCGTTATTAAGTTTGAATGAAATTAATTCATGCTAATACGCGGGTTTGATTATTCTTTTGCCCAAATATTTTCTATACTCTTCAATTAGAGTTAAGGTTAATTAATTAAAGATTGTCTTATTTTTTTTTCTCGTCTCCTCAATGCTTAAGATCTTGTAATCCTAACCTTAATTATATCATTTTTTTCTATAATAATTGCAAATTCATGTTTTCTATACATTATCATAAACATTAAAATTTATGTAATTATTTTTAATTCAAATCAACTAATTTATTAAAACTTATTTCTTGTCACTAAATCATTAAGGGCCCGTTTGGGGCAACGTATAGGCGCGGGCGGCGTTTTGAAAACGCCTTCGTGCCGTTTGGATAGTACGTTCAGATAGATTATTCAGAAATGCATTTTTTATTTCCTTAATAGATGGGGCCGCGGAATCGACTCCACGGTCCGCGTCTCGAATCTGCGTTCAAAGGTTATTTCATCCCGTGCCCCTTTTGCTTTTCGTCTCCCCCTCGCTCGATCTCTCTTGCCCTAGGTCGATCGAGCTCTCACACCCTTCTGGTCGAAGTATCTGTTGCAGGGAAGAAGTTTGGACAACAACTTCGTAGTGAGGGCGGTCGAAGGATCTCTGCCCCGATCGAGAACCAGTCAACCGTGGTGAGTTCTTCTTCAAATCCTGTCTCCATGATCGCAAATTTATTCTTGCTGTAACTGAGCATAATTTTCTTCTCGAACGAAGTTTGAGAAAGATGGAAAAAAATAGCATCAACTGAGAAGAGAGAGAGAGAGAGAGAGGTAGAATGGGGGTTATGTCAAGGCGGTTGTTGCCCGTCTGCGTTAGTATCTTTTGCTTCTATCCAGCTTTGAGGTCGAGATCCGGACAACCTGTGAAATGATACAAAAAGCTTTCCAATATCTTTTCTCGCTCTCAGGTAAATATCCTTGTTTGAGATTCTTTTTTGCATGATGTAATTCTTTGGTTTACCTTGTTATTTATATAGAATTGGAACAAGATATAGAATTGGAACAAGTTGCGGCGTTGTTCATCAGCAAAATTGATTGGCGTTCTTAAATGGTACTTAGGTGTTTGGTTTAATGCTATCTAGATTAGTGTTGTATGGATAATAAAGTTATTCGGACAACAATAGTGTCCATCAAATGCAACATACTTGGTTCAATGCTACCTTGTTTAAAAAATGTAAATATTACTTGGAATGATCAATGATTCTTACGTTGTTATTTGTTGTCATTTTTTATAGCCAACATATTTAGCTAATATTTTGATGTTATTAGAGCAAAATTTATGTCATTTGTGAAATTAATTTTTGAAGATATTATCAAACCAAACAAATGTCCCCCTTAAGCAATATAATTTTTCCCTTGTGGCATATTCTATTACCTTCATAATATTTATTCCTTTTTTTGGAAGCACAAACGCTTCTAGAGAGTCCTATTATGTCAGACACATGGAAAGTCTAGGACACCATGTCAGATTCACCATTTGACATATCATGTTTTTAATTTCCGCAAGTTTAGCACACCCCTTGGACCTTTTTAGAGATCTCTTGTATAGAGGCACATATATTACAAATAAACTATTCCACAGATCATGAGAACATGGTTCATCATATTTGATTTAAGTCTTCTTAGTAACTACTTCAGCATTTAAGTGGTGATACCTATGATGGTACTGCCATAGTACACACATTCTTTTGTGCTTGCTTCATAAGACAACCCTTTTTTGAATATAAAATAAGGAGAAAACATGAGTTGAGGAAATAAAATTGAAGAAAAGAAATGAATTTAACAAGTCAAACATCATAGAATGCTATGGGGATTTCTAGATTCTCGACGACTTTAATCATTTGAGCCAACTTTGCTTCAGACACACACACACATATTTTTTTAGGTTTCTTGATACCCACTCTTAAATGAGGTGTATATCTTTTTTTGTATTATTATGAAGTGATTTTTCTTGGTTTTAAACTATAAAATATATAGCCATGACAGTTCTGTTGCAAACAGCACAACTGCATAGCGACAGAATGATCATTTATCCAAAAACAATTGCAAATCAGCTGTTTTCCAAATGCATAAACCAAACAGTTAGCAAATTTATCTAGATCAGGGGCAGAACGATCATTAATTCAAAAATAACTGCAAATCAATTGTTTTTCAAATGTACAAACCAAACAACCAGTCAGCTTATCTGGATCAGCTGTTGATCAGTAGCTTATCAGGATAAACTGCTTATCTAAATAAGTTGGATAAGCTGTAGTTGCCCTAAACATACCCTAAATTAATGAAACATTGATATATAGTAAAATCATTATAAATATAAAAAATTGACTTTCAGATTTTAAATTTTTTTTTCATTTTTTGATTTAGTATGCATGCCTCAAAACTTTTTTTCTTTCTTCTGTCTTTTCCAAAATATCAGTTGTTCTCACAAGCTCTAATGGAAAAGGTTCTTTTTAGTACAAGTCAAACCTAGGGTTTGGAAATTTCATGTAAAATTTCTTTATAGAAGCATAAATTTTATTTCTGAAGAATATAAGAAAGAAAACCTAAGGAATTGTTTGGAATCACTTTCTGTTTTCTATTCTTGTTTTTTTAGTCAGTTTTATTTTTGTTTTGTTTTCTGTTTTTAGAAAACACGTTTGGTACTTTATGATTTATATATTTTAAAAATAAAAAAAATTATAAAACATGTTTGATTGAATATTTTTAATTTTTTATTAAAGAAAAAATCATACTTTTTGTAAAAATGATTGTGTCCAAGTGCATTCTAGTATTAAGCTCTACTGCCCATGTCGTATACTACATTTTCCTTGCTCCACCCAACACGAAGCATTATCTGTGGCTGGGGCGGCGTGCTGGGGCAGACAACCAATTGGGATAGGCGGGCAGCACCTGGGGGGAGGGGTGCGACTTGCGATGGCGGGGTGCCAGCGGCCGACGGAGAGCAGTGGGACTCGTTGTTTTTAGTGTTTTAAAAACATGCAAAAACATGTTTCTTTTATTTTTTAGTATTTTAAAAACA